CACATAAACAAGACTGTCACAAACTCCAATGGTATATACAATGCAATAAATAAGCAAGAATATATAAGCCAATACTTTGTCAATTTAGGTGGACTTTAGGAAAGTATTTGTTTTGAAAAGACAGAGATGTAAAATATAACAAATAATGTCATTCTATGAATTCAATGACATAGCTATCCAATCAAATGTCCACTAGATTTGCAATCTATCAGCAGGCTATTACTTCCATGGATCAATACATTTTAAGTACAATGTAGAAAAACGCAGAGAGTTGACATGTAAACATCTATGCATAATAGTTTAATTTGTAAAAGAAAGCCTATATATCGGTGCACAATGTATTTGCAAATGACATGAATGACCATAAGTTTCCAGAAGGTTGTTTTGGTAACATCAAACACAGAAGTTTAAGAGTTCTGCCGAGACTTGGCAACTATACCCTGTACCCTGATGGTAAATTTAGAAGTTACATGTATCACGGACAAAAATATGCCTTTAAGACAGATAGCAAATTAAATGCTTTAAATAGCACATTGATTATGTTTCCTTTGAATGTGAAAGAAAAAAATATACCGTCTAACTTTTTAGATGAAGCAAAATATTTGTAATAAATTGCTGGGGCATATGAAGGGGCATAACTTAGTCAAAATAAACTGAATGCAGAGAAAATCAAACTAGACCTGTGTTTTGATATAAAATATCAAATATAAACAGAATCAATGAAATACATCGAAAGTTATCCTGTGGAAAACCAATAATTTTACAGAAACTTTGGTAATAAAGGGGCATAACTCGTTGATTGCAGAAAAATCGAATATGACCTGTACTTTTATATATATAACTTATTCACACTACAAATATAAAACAATTAATGAAAACCGTTAAAAGAAACCAATAATTTCACACAAAAAATCAGTTTGAAAGGAGAATTATAGGTTAATTGCAGCGAAAATCATGTTTTGATATGTACTTACATGCCAAATATAAACACAATGAAATCATTCAAAAGTATTGCTACGGACACTAATTGTTTACTGATGGACACATTGATATAGAGCAATAAAACCCAGTTAACAATGGTCTAAGTGACAAATTGCCAGCTCAAAAAATGTATTTTAGTAAAGAACATGCTTTGTTATTGTACATTTTACATGTCATGTTGTGCCTGACTCCCACTACCTCCAAAGTACTTTGCCTTGATAAAATGATAGGCAGTCTCCACCAGTAAAAAAGGTGTTCATAATGTCAATATGGGATACGGACAAAAGCAACCCCCCCCCTTCTAAAAATGACAAGGTGAACAAAAGCCCCCCCCCCATGAAATTTCCACATAGGACAAAAGCCCCCCCCCCCCCCCAATAAAAAAAAGTAAAGGTAGGACAAAAAAAAGTAAAGGTAGGACAAAAGCCCCCCATGGTCCATCAAATTTACATATAGTGTATACCTTAAGTGTAATTAATGACTGTATTTTGTAGTATTTATCACCATATTTCTACTGCGTTACTAACACAGTAAGGGCTATTTATGCATATTTTGACCTCTTTTTGGCAATTTATGTGTATTTTAAGTGCCGATTGTAATGTGTCAAGTAATTTCTTTGTTCATTTCACAATATTTTACCTTTAAATACATTTTCAAAATTTTCATGAAAATTAGGATGAATCTGGAGGCGTGCTGCTTTAATGTTTATTAATAATGTATATATTGAAGTGATAACAAAATATGATAACAGATGAAATAATGCATGCATGTAATACTGAATTCATAGCTTTTCATATACACAACAAGTGTCAGAAGAGTAGTAATGTTTATTATCACTTTTGTAAATGGATCAAATTAATATCCTTAACACTATGTCACCTACATTTGATGTCCATACATATTTTTTATACACATAAAAACACAACTTTAATACATGCATGCTTAAAAATATTACAAACATGAAGATGAAGAGCACATGGATGAAATAAAGCACACTTTATTAATAAATTATTCTCACAATCTCTGCTACATTTCAGTTTCAAAAAATGTTCACATTTAGTTGAGTCTGATACATAATGTGACATGGCATACAGAAATTGTGCCATAGTCTTCTCACCCATTAATTCATTTACACTAAATGTAAATTTGATGGACATGGGGGGGGGGGCTTTTTGTCCTACCTTTACTTTTTAATGGGGGGGCTTTTGTCCTATGTGGAAATTTCATGGGAGGGGGGGGGGCTTTTGTCCACCTTGTCATTTTTAGAAGGGGGGGGGGGCTTTTGTCCTACCTTTACTTTTTAATGGGGGGGCTTTTGTCCTATGTGGAAATTTCATGGGAGGGGGGGGGCTTTTGTCCACCTTGTCATTTTTAGAAGGGGGGGGGGCTTTCGTCCGGGGAGGGGGGGGGGGCTTTTGTCCTACACTCTGTCAATATTGCTCTTTTCAGTAAACTTTGCAAAAAAGTATTATGTACTTGAATAATGTGCGTTACATAATTATGCAATAAAAAGAAAAATAAATAAGAGCCAGCCTTAGACAGGGTCCTTATTCGACTTTATCTTATTTCTAAAATCAAACACATTGGAGGAAGAATATTGTAGTAAAGATTACTCCTAAAAGACATATTTTGTACAAAATATAATTCAAATTTCATTTTTGACCTTGACTGTCAAAATAATTTAAAGGTCATGATTATATTAGAATAAAGCATTATAGCAGTTCTGCATAAGTGTTATTGTGTTATTGTGTCCAAGAATGAACCAATTTAAATGAATGACGATATTAAGACAATTTAAAGAAATTTCAAAAGTTTGACTTTAAAGGTAAAGGTCAATGAAGGATCAGTCATATAAGAATAAAACATCAAACATGATAATTTTGAAATATGTGTTCTTTTTTCAAGTATGAATCAAATCTGTAAATAAATAGCAAGTTTATGACAATTCAAGCGAATTTCAATAATTTGGCCTTGATGTTCAAGGTTAATTAAAGGTCAAGGTCATGTCAAAATAATTCAACATACAGATTTTGTCATAAGGTTTCTTTTGTTCAAGTATAAATCAAATCTGTAATTAAATAACAAAGGTATGACAATCTAAGCTAAATTCAGTATTTGACCTTGAAGGTTAAGATCATTGAAAGGTCAAGGTCAAATTTGAGTTACTACACATGTCAGTTTTGTTTTAAGTGTTCTTTTGTCCAAGTATAAATCAAATCCATAAATAAATCACAATGTTATAGCCAATATTAGCAAAATTTATTGATTTGACCTCATTTGACAAGGTGAAATTAAGGTCAAGGTAAATTTTTAATAAATCTCCTTTAATGTCTTGTCTTGTTTGAAGAAAATCTGTTCATAAATAACAAATTTTAAGCCAAATATAGCAAAAATTAAGCAAAATTCAAACATTTGACATTGAAAGTCAATGTCAATTATGTGTCAAGGTCGAGTTCATTATTGTTTACTTGAAGGTCAAAAGGGTTGTTGTGTCCAAGTATGAAAATAATCCATTTAGAACTTTGGAAAAATGCTGGCAAATGTTAAAGTGTCTGAATGGCAACGACAGTGGCAAACGACAACCTGACTGTAGAAATAGCTCAAATCTTTTCTTCGAAAAAGTCAAGCTAAAAATGTACGTTAAAAATACTTTTTTTTTTGGTCAGTAAAAATATGATTGTCATAGACATTCAAAGCACTTAAGGCCTTAACTGAGACAGTAGGGTTCACAGGTACGTCAATAAAAACTTAGATGTACAATGTGTGAAGTCTACTATTTATCAATCACCTGATAGTGACAGTTAAATGAGAGTGACACCAGTGGCGGATTCAGACCCGGGCTTCAGGGCTGCAGCCCCCAGCTTGGCCCAAAGATACGTTTACCAGCTGGGCTGGAAAATATTTTTGTCAGTTTCAAACTCTATTGCCTGTAGTGTACTCCCTTATCAAAACATTAATTGCTGTCATCCAGTTGTTAATCTCCTGCCTGGGGGCTTGGCAGAGATCTTTATCTATCAACATGCTTGAATGACTTCAATGTTTAAACTGCATAATTGATTGGTTTTATTACTTTCTAAAGGTCTAATGAAATTAATAGTCACAGATAGTGGCAAATAGATGTGTTACATTGCACACCATATTTTACCATCTTTGTTTTTCATTTTTCTTTGCGAAAGCCCTATGATGAGGAAATTGAAAATTATTATTTGTAAATTAAAAAGGTGACCAGTTTTATAAAGATTATACTATATGAATAGCGTTTTAAATAATAACTAGTTTTTCTAAGATTTTTAATCAGATGAATTGATTGGTCATTTGCTTTTAATAACTTTTTATTGCAGTTATATTTTTTATAATTAAATTTAAATTGTACTGACCTCTTTAGTATCTAAAATGGATTCATTGATTGAAAAAATTCTTATTGAATATATGTGTCTGAAATTATTTTTTTTTACAATTGAAAGGCAGTACTTTAATATCACTTTACTTTGGAAAATCTTCTATTATTCAGATGAGTACATTGATCAAGTGTTTAAAAATTATTTTTATCAACAGTCGCGCAAACATTGGTTAGTGTGCTGTTATTTTGTAAATGCTTAATTATTATACTAAACACCAGGGGAATTCTATTTGAAATACCTTGTAAACACTAACCCGTAAAACCATCCACAATTTATCAAAAACAGCACTAGAAAGTCAAGGAAATAACACCATTTTTAACCTCATATTTCAAAATTTTCTCAGTCTATGGCAGGGGACACCCCTCCCAGGCCCACCCCAATTACAGATATTTTTCTAGATTCCATATCATAAAAATATATATATAAAGATTTACGAAAATATTAGTATACACATATACAAGCAAAAGTACATTGCTACTCATAAGATGAGCTATAAAACACATAAATCAAAATCTTTGTCACATGAACAAGGTATTGGCCCTATCTTCAAACATGCACAAGTTTCGCCGGTTGTATTATTTTTGTCAAAATATTCCACCCATATGTCAGCCCCCCAGGAAACCATGTTCTGTATCCGCCCCTGAGAGTAATTACAGAGCAATTCATCTAAGGGCTGAAATGTCAACATAGCAGTAAGTTGGAGTATAGCCTATGTTTAAAAACTGGAGGGGTCCGATTTGTAGGATTTTAAAATCCAAAAATACTCAAAAATGATTATAACTGAGAAATGAAAAAAAAATGGAGGAATTTCCTTGCTTAGGTATCATTTCTCCTAAAAGAAGACATTAAAATTCTTCACACACTGTTAGACCAGAACACAGAGAGCTCAGTTATTCCATTTATTCCATGGTGATTTTTAAATGCCACCCCCCCCCCTGCTATTCAAGGCCGAACCCATGGTCTACCTCTCGAAAATCCCCTTAGTTGGTTCATACCTACAATGATAACTATAACACATATTCTAGTGTTTATATTGTCTAAATCTTACATGGATTTGAAATGATTAGGAGGCAGAAATATATTTAATGCATGCAAGATTAGAGTTGTATTGCTTTGAAAATAATATCTAATCTATAATTGGTGCTGTACATGTAAACACTACTGTCTCTTGAGCCTTTAAAGATTTACATATATTTTATCATAAAATAATAGAAATGATTATAAAAGGTTACAAGAATCAAACAAAGATTACAAGAATCAAACAAACAACATAACAAAAATATAATAATATTAAAATAATTCATGATTATAACATCTCTTTTCTAAAATTCAAAATATTTAAATAAATTGTTATATTAAAGCAAATTTTAAAATTGTGTAACTTTACAATATAAAATATACAAGGGTTGTTTCATAAAGTAATAGGATTGCAGCTCTACTGTCCACATTTTCAAATTTACGTACACAATTTTACAGAGACCAAATATCAGAAGATGTTCCCTGCATGTATACAGTAAAAAATCAATACAAAATGTTTAAAAATAACAAGTCTGTAAAAAAATTGAAATGACATGGGGATTGCGACCCAGCGCACAATTACAATACAGTAAATGACGTTCATGATGTTGTAGAAGAAATACAAAATGTAACATTGCATCATTCTTTCTGAAAGTATTCTTCCTCGTGTTTTAGGTCTCTGAATCATGTAATTATTTCCAGGCCTCATAATATGTTGAGAAAAAGCGAGAAAGAAAGCGATCACATTCTCGTTTCTCTCTCCAAAACCAATGATTGCGCGATAGTGTGCCGGCCATTCTCCGCTTTTTCTCGTATATTTTGAGTTATCTTGGAACTCAACAGTCATGGACTTAAAATGAAAAACCGAATTATAGAATTAATTTACACATGTCCTTGATAATGTACAGTAACATTACAATATCTATCACTTGAAAAATATCCTATTCCAATTAGCACAGTCTATCATTTATTAAAACATATTCAGGGAAAATAAAACTAATTATTACCGTTAATTCATTATTAAATTAATTTATTTATAAGATGTACATCTACTTAAATACAATGATATAGTGTTTAAAAGAAATGTCTCAAATTCAATACTCTTGTAAGAGTAAAAAAAAAATCCGGACAGTTCGCAGACCATTTACCGCCGATCCTTTTGTAGCAGTTATGCAATTAATGTCATTTGAGCATCATATTTATGATGTAAAACCATACAAAATTGAGTGACAGGATCTTTTAATACATATAAATATGTAAAATCTAAAATAATCACAAATTATTAGGTATGAAAAAAAAAAAAAAAAAAAAAAGGCTTAAAATCACATGAAATGTCAATTATTAGTTAACAAAATTACAATCCTTTTTTTTTTTTAAATATTACGGTTGCTGAAAATGATAAGCTTTTGCCACCACTGACATTTAAGACTCACTCAGGTTAGCCTGCACAGATGTACAAGCTAACTAGGCTCTATCATAGGTAGCTCAATGAAATGAAATTTACTTGTCACAATATCCATAATTAAACTGAATCAAACATAAAATTATTTTAAAAAAAACTAGTACATATAATACTTCTTAATGTCTAATAGTCTAAAAACATTTAATTAAAAAAAGTATATTGATACAAGTAAACACTAAAAAAAGCAAAAAAAAAACACTTCATTAAATATAAGGAATAATACATTGTAATGGTACAAAACAAAATCACATTAGAATAGTACTTTAAAATTATATAACATTAAAAATTAATGAAATATGACATCAGATGTTGGGGTTTGACAAATCATAACATGAAATGTTTTCTATATTTCTCATATCACTAAGATTCTTTTTGCATCAGCTTTTTTGACAGTAAAGCTATCAAACTAAAAAGAACTAATGTATATTCTAAACTGACAAGGAAGTAAAATAAATATGTTACATCTTCCAATTACAATCTCTTAAACTGTTCCGCTCAATTTAATTTCCTTAATTTCACTTGAAATCTTGACAAAATTAATATACATGTATACTTAAATGATGTGCAAGAATGAGATTTGTTATAAAAACAAATCAAGATACAAAATTTAAAAAGCAATATACAAATAAATTTTGTGTTAAGATTTATCACTTAACCAAAAAAAATAATAATATAAACTGTGTCGGGAGAATGACTGCCTTGATGTTATTTAATCTAAGGAAATATTTAGCAATAAAGACTAGAACCAATTTCCAAGATATGGGGGCTTGGCAGCACTGCCTGACTTAAGATTGAAATATTCTCAGATGTAATTGTTTAGTTAACACTATTTTTATTCAGGTATTTTTTATCTTTTTATGTCTCAAATCAATATATACATTTAAACAACAAACTATGATTATTATTTACACCCAAAACAATGAACTCTGATCATAATTTACACCCCCAAAAAACACACATTTTCTATCAACCACTTAAACGAAATATCTTTTCATGTAAACTCTTTTATACAAAACAATACTAGACACCTTGCGAGCCCAAGCTCTAAACAACTTATGATCAAACAAAACAATAAAATCACCACAAAATGAAGAACACAAAAATGAATATTTTTACAACTCTAAGATACAGTATAAACCACAAAAATTCAACCAACAATATTAACTTCACAAAATCTAATCAGCATCAGAAAAGCAAACTAAAGTACCCAATATTTACAGATATCCCCAAAAATTTACAAAGCATCAACTAATATAATAAACAAACTCATCCAAACATTCAATCAATTTCAACCAAATATTTCTTACCAAACAGATATATCTCAACAACCAAAACAACTAATTACAACCAATAAACCATGATCAATTAAGATCACCACAATTAAATTCAACCAACTTCAACATATCAACAAAACTCTCTTTAAAACAACAAATTCTCTTCTCAACAAAAAAATAAATGCTACACACTATCAGTGTGTCTCTCCTAAACTGATGTAAAATCTCTCCCAAAACTCGCATATTTTCTATTTGACATTTACGTGTAGAAATTTTAACCTCAGCAACAGGGTATAAATACACTCACTGTTCATTAATACGATACACTTCAGTGTATCGATGTAGGAAGACATTAACTCGGTTAAAAATAGATCGACAGTAAAAATGTACGATTATTCTGACAAACTGGTTAAAATAATTATAAGAGCGCAAATATATCTCTTTACTTTTCTACAAGTAAAGAAAATAGTAAGACAATCATCTGCATAAAAAAATACAAATTAATTTGTGCAGGGCAAATGACTTCGATCATCTTCCACTGGGTTTGTATTCTTCATGTAAAACATGCCAAACTTTCTTGCTGATCTAGTTTTTTGCATATTGATATGACCTGAAAATGTAATACTTTATAGATGAAACCATGTTTAACAACACTCCAGTTATTTCTTTCATTTTAAAGTGCAAAAGTACAGCATACATTTATATATTAATTCATAGCTCATTTTGTAATGTAGTAATTAAATTTTAGTAACAAATTCTTTAAAATACTAGCATGAAAGTGACCCTAAATAAAGACAGGCCATCTTTAAATCCATAAAGTTTTGAAAAAATTGTACTGTTTGGTGTTGTCTTTCGTTATTTTGAAAATGGAATTTCAACACTTCTATGTATAAAGCAGGTGGAGTTCATTATACAAATGTATATCAATCATACCAGTCAAAAGCAGAAATAATGCATTTTTCTTCCCATCTACCCTGAAAGTATGTCTGCTAGAGAATAATGTAAATTTTAAATATATGTACAACATAACAGACATTTTTGATTTTGTATACCTTATAAGGATTCTTTTGAAATTATTAAGACACAAATTTTAACAATTTTACATAAGTAAGATGCTATGTTAACAATATTACTTTAATAGTACTTTTGGTGCATGTATCCTCCATAGCTGTCGAAATTTGGGGGATGATTGTTGTAAAGTTCTTGATTCCATCTTTGAGGTGGGTAGGAATAACCTGTAAAAATTACATTGTATTAAGAAATCTTCCGTAAACTGAAAAATGATATCAAATTCTTTTTTGAAATTAAAGGCACATAAAACCTCAGAAACGAAAATGTTTTTACATCTTTAGAAATACCATATTTATGAATTTTACAACATTTAAATAATGGTTATAGAGCATATAAGATGCTTGTAATCTGAACAAATTAGAGATTTATATGAAATAATTTGTCACAAACCCAGCAAAATGTAAACAACATAGTACTTTGACTGCCATATAAAATACTACATCACTGTACAAATTGCCAAAAAGCAACAGATGAAAAAGATGGTTCAAATAATCAGCCAATGAGTAACACTTTGAAAGCTATTAAAGTACACTCAAAATAAGAATAGAAACATTTCTGAAGCATAATTGGCCTTTAAGCTTTCCAGAATTTAGTAACAAATTCTAACAAGAGCCAGTTGAACCGGGTGATGCTCCCCAAATAGGTTTTGGACACAGGAATGTATACCTCTTGTACTGTCAGAGATATGTCACAGACAAAGCTCGAAGTGTAAAAACAACAAAAATGTTGCGCGCGACACATTGTCTCAATTTGATGATCATTTCTGTGAAACAGTTGTAAAATATAACTTCAAATAACGAAGTTATGAGCTGGACACGATTTTGCTGCAAGGTCATGCTGTGACCTTAACCTTCAAGGAAGCGACCCAATTGTTGCTCGCGACACATTGCCTCAATATTGTGATCATTTCTGTGAAATAGTTGTAAAATCTGACTTCAAATAACGAAGTTATGGACCGGACACAATTTTGCTGCAAGGTCATGCTGTGACCTTGACCTTCAAGGTAGCCACCCAAATGTTGCGCGCCACACATGGTCTCAATATGGTGGTCATTTCTGTGAAATAGTTGTAAAATCCGACTTCAAATAAGAAAGTTATGGGCCGGCAAAACGATTTTGCTGCAAGGTCATACTGTGACCTTGACCTTCAAGGTAGCGACCAAAATGTTGCATGTGACTCGTGGATTTAATTTGGTGATCATCTCAGTGAAATAGTTGTTAAATCCTACTTCAAGTAATGAAGTTATGGGCCAGACACGATTTTGCTGCAAGGTCATGCTGTGACCTTGACCTTCAAGGTAGCGACCCAAATGTTGTGCGCGACACATTGGCTCAATATGGTGATTATTTCTGTGAAATAGTTTTAAAATCCGACTTCAAATAACGAAGTTATGGGCAGGACCCGATTTTGCTGCGAGGTCATGCTGTGACCTTGACCTTCAAGGTAGCAACCCAAATATTGCGCAACACACGTTGTCTCAATATGATGATCATTTCTGTGAAATAGTTTTAAAATCAGACTTTAAATAATGAAGTTATGGACCGGACACGATTTTGCTGCAAGGTCATACTGTGATCTTGACGTTCAAGGTAGCCATCCAAATGTTGCGCACAACATGTCATGTCAATATGGTGATTATTTCTGTGAAATAGTTTTAAAATCTGACTTCAAATAACAAAGTTATGAGCCGGACACGAATTCGGGACGTACGTACGGATGGACAGGCGGTCTTTCTAACAGGAGAGTAATAATGTGGCTACTCTATTGTTCTCTCTATTGTTCTTTTTGCCACACTAAAGAAAATAGCCACATAAAAGCATTACGGAATGAATGACATCAAAGAGAAAGAACAGTACCTATTGTCCCTCTAGCCACATAATTACTCTCCTGTGAGTGCGGACGGACGGATGAACGGACAACCCGTCGACTATATGCTCCCCCGAAATTTTTCGGGGAGCATAACAAGAACCGGTTGAACTGGGCGATGCTCCCCAAATAGGTTTTAGACACAGGAAGTTATACCTCTTGTAGTGTCAGAGTTATGTCACAGACAAAGTTCAAAGTGTAAAAAAAAACAAATGTTGTGTGCGATACGTCCTCACTTCATCATTTCTGTGAAATAGTTGTAGAATCCGACTTCAAATAACGAAGTTATAGGTCGGACAGAATTTTGCTGCAAAGTCATGTTGTGACCTTGACCTTCAAGGTAGTGACCCAAATGTTGCATGTGACACGTCGTCTCAATATGGTGATCATTTCAGTGAAATAGTTGTAAAATCCTACTTCAAATTACGAAGTAATGCGCCGGACACGATTTTGCTGCAAAGTCATATTGTGACCTTTACCTTCAAGGTAGCGACCCAAATGTTGTGCGCGACACGTTATCATTATGGTGATCATATCTGTGAAATAGTTTTCAAATCCTACTTCAAATAACAAAGTTAAGGGCCGGACACAATTTTGCTGCAAAGTCATGCGGTGACCTTGACCTTCAAGGTAGCGACCCCAATGTTGTGCGCGACACGTCGTCTCAATACTGTATGTGTATTTAAATTCGCGGAAGCAAATTTTCGCGGAAAGGACCACTTTGGGGGTCTATACAAATATTCGCGCTATTTTGAATTCGCGGAGGTGACTGCCGAAAATCATAAATTCGCGTTGACCACTCAAGGAAAATTACAGTACTGTAATCATCGCGGGAGTTCACAGTTATTTTCAATACCAGGTGTCGAACAATACGTTATTTTACAGAATAAAAGACACTGTCTAGCGGACAGATTATAGCAAAACCAAAAAAAATGCCCGTGCATAATTTTTCATGTTTTGGTTTTTCCTAACAAACGATACAAAACAAACACAAACATAAACGATTTAAATGATGAATAACTTGGAAAACAAACACAATTACTCAGAAAACATTTAAATAAAAGTGTGAAAACATATCACACACTGATATACATTGTTCTATAGAAGCGCGAAAATATGACTATTAAGAAATTACTGGTGTAGAAATATTCGCGCTAAACATGAATTCGCGGATCGAATGTCACCGCGAAGATCGCGAAAATTTGAAGCCCGCGAATATTTCTACACATACAGTATGATGATCATTTCTGTGAAATAGTTGTAAAATATGACTTCAAATAATGAAGTCATGGGTCGGACACGATTTTGCTGCAAGGTCACCTGTGACCTTGACCTTCAAGGTAGTGACCCAAATGTTGCGCGCGACACATCATCTCAATATGGTGATCATTTCTGTGAAATAGTTGTAAAATCAGACTTCAAATAAAAAAGTTATTGGCCGGACACGATTTTGTTGAAATGTCATGGTGTGTCCTTGACCTTCAAGGTAGCGACCCAATTGTTGCGAAAGACATGTCCTCTCAATATGATGATCAATATGGTGATATGGTGAAATAGCTGTAAAATCTGACTTTAAATAATAAAGTTATGGGCCGGACACGAATTCGGGACATATGTACGTACGGACGGACACTGGGACGGATGGACAACCCGGCGACTATATGCTTCCCCGGGCAGCATACTAATGGTGCTTTGACGGCCCTAGATCACTCACCTTAAATCAATTGCCTTTGAGCAAACTAATAAAAGTTCAATAGACAATTCCACACATCAAATATTTAGCTCTTAACCTTGGTTAGGGCCAAATTTGAAACCAAGGTCAAGGTTTGAACAAAATAAATAGTCATGGTCATAATGGTCATAATGGTCATAATAGTCATTTATACAATAAATAGCTATACCTTGTATTTCTTGAGAAAATAATTTTCAAATGTGCCACTTTGGACACATAATGGTCATTAATTGAACAAACTTAGTAAAGATACGCGAGACACACCAAATATCCGAGTCCAGAGCATTTGGCTTTGGGAGAAGACTATTTGTAACATTTTTCTAAAATGACTCAATGTAAAATCAAATGACCTTTGGACAGGGCCTATTTCGATCTCAGGGTCATGATTAAACAAACTTGATTAAGGTCGACTTATCAAAGCTACATACCTGTTTTATGTCAAGACGGCTCATACAGGCGTTCAATGTAACAATCAAGACATATGCCAAATATTTAGACAATTCATCTAGTAACAACAAGTGACAAACAAGACAGAATTTGATCTTGACCTCCAAGTACAACCTTAATCTTAAAGGTGTGGACACGCTTCTTGCACCAACACTTATGGTGTCTCCTTATTGTGTTCATGTGTACAAATTTGCTGTTTTAAATCCTATCGTGCAAGCAGACGTTATGGACCTGATACAAACTTGAGCAGCTGCACTTTAAACTATATGACACGCAAAGTTCAATTTCCTGCTGTGATCTTGAGCTTTGAGCTAGTAACCTGCGTCTTGCATGCAACACAACGTTTCCTTATTTATTAAAACACAGCCAAAATTTTTGTGGTTATAAATAAATACAAACAATTTTTATCTGACTCCTTATCTCGAAATTAAGGCTGAAATTTAAGGCAGAAAGCAAACTGACTTACCTCTTTCATGAGGAAACCAACTTTTCATTGATCCTTCTCTGTTGAAGACATATTGTGGGTTGTACACTGGATACCTTCTGTTGATATAATATTGATTCATGCATTCATAAGGGTTTCTTAGTAAGTCATACTGTTTCTTATTGTTGCTCTCTTCATTCCATCTCTGCTTATCTTGGGTTTGATGTCTTCTGACATTATCCTGCTCTCTGAAATTATTTTCTCTGAACCATCTATGTGTTTCATAACCTTCAGTTTGGTAGCCTAAATCTTCTGGAGAGAATTCGTATCTATACCTTTCATCTCGATATTCTAACGGATATTCAAATCTTTCTTGTGGAAATTCAACCTTATTTTGAACTTTAGCGTCATAATTTGCTGACACTTGAGTGTCTAACCTTTTCTCTCTTAACTTTAGAAATACTCGTCGTCTTGGTAAAGGTTTTAATTCATTTTTGCAAATAGCTTTTGAATTCCCCTCTTTCAATTTCAGAATTTCTGGAAGTTTCTTTGGTCCTTGATCACAATATTTGATTTGATTTGAAGGACCATCTGCTGCATTAATCTTGAATTGATTATATGGGATGCCTATGGCTATGGTATCTTGAAAGGGCTTATCATTATTGTGCTTTACAACTGACATTTCAACTGCAGAATGCAAATATGTGCTTTGATCCACTTCTGTTGAACCTCTTTCTTGTTTTTCTGTTAAGTTATTCTCATTTTCTGTTAAGTTATTCTCAATCTTTTTCTCTTTGTCAGAAAGGGGAAGATTTCCATCTGTAAAGACTGATTTGCTTTGATCATCATTTCCATTTGACAGTTGTTTCATCCTCTGGATATCATGTTGGATGGGACTGCTGATGTCATCAGGGGACTTGTCAGTGTACTTTACATCTACAATTTCAAGACCAGAATGCAGGTCTGTGCTTGAATCCACTTCTGTTGTGCTTGTTCTATTTTCATCTACTGGCATGGTTTTCTGCATATCTGTATTAAGGTTTATGTTACCCTCAATGCAAATAGTTTCTTTATATTGATCCCCATCAATCTTTGTTTCCACAATCATTCCCTCTTTGTCAGAAAGGGAAATATTTGTATCTGTAAAGATTGATTTGCTTTGATCTTTATTTCCATTTGACAGTTGTTTCATTTCACTGCTTGAAAGTTTATCTGTTTCAATATTGTCAACTGAATATATCCTCTGGATATCATGTTGGATGGGACTGCTGATGTCATCAGGGGACTTGTCAGTGTACTTTACATCTACAATTTCAAGACCAGAATGCAGGTCTGTGCTTGAATCCACTTCTGTTGCACTTGTTCTATTTTCATCTACTGGCATGGTTTTCTGCATATCTGTATTAAGGTTTATGTTACCCTCAATGCAAATAGTTTCTTTATATTGATCCCTATCAATCTTTGTTTCCACAATCATTTCCTCTTTGTCAAAAAGGGTAATATTTGTATCTGTAAAGACTGATTTGCTTTGATCTTTATTTTGGTGCTCCATCTCACTGCTTGAAAGATAAATTGTATTGTCACCTGGTGATAGCCCCTCGCTACTGGCATGGTTAATGTTCTGTTTATCTGGCAGAACTTCTAATGAAACTAGATCAAAACAGAAAATTAATACAGTATTTTTAATATATATTTACTTTTAAACGTGAAAAAACACTTGTATGTATAGTCAAATACATTTTCATATACTGCGAAAGAAATTAAATAATGTATCCTAAATGAATCAGTAATATGAGAAAATATCAAAGGCAATTATTCCTTGACAAAATGCATATTAAAGGAAGTCAAGTCATCATGCTGTTTAAAATTTGATAATGCCTGGCTTAGTTGTTGACCTTATACATCCAATTAAATACAAAGTCATTCTCGTGAATTTTATGTTTGTAAGACAGCGTGCTTAACTTCATGAAATCAAACATATTTGATCTGGCCAGGTATAGGATGTGAAAAGCATGGAAATGGTGAAAGATTGTTATTAAAAAGAAGTATTTAATGAATGTAAATCATCTATGTAAACAGCAAGACCTGAACAGAAGTGTTTTAGAATTTATTAAGTCGCCAAATAGTTGCAAGCTTGACAAAATGGTGACAGTCTCTTTGATTTTTGTGTAATTTTGAAATTGAGAGTATGTACATGTATAAATGCATTAACTACAACACGCTTGGTATAGACAAATTAACTGAAGGTCACATTCATATTTTTAGATCTGATGATTCTATACTGGGCCATTTTAAACATGTTTAGTCAAACCGAAACTTCAAGTTGCATGTTTTGAAGTTTGAAATGAAATTGTTACTGTAAAGTGACATAGCCCTTATCCCCCCAAAATGTAGCCATAAATTCTATTTTATTGAATAAGCTATTGCGAAGAGCCGCAAAAAATGAAGAAATATCATTTGGTAAAGATTCCTTCCTCAAGGTTTCTCGGATAGAAGCCAGAGCATCCTTCGGTTCTAGTGAGCTAGTAATTGATTAATTACAAAGTCACAATTATAGTGATAATCATTGAACATAAAATAATTTGACCGTTAATGTCAAGGTCATACATGAGTTAAGGTCAATTTTATTTTGATATACATGAAGGTCCCAACCTAACAGATGCTGTGTCTTAATATGAACTTAATTCATTTATAAATAACAAAGTTATAGCCAGTTACAGAAACAAAAGCCACCGCAAGGCGGGGCAACGCTAGACGTTTTAACTTCTTCTATAAGCAAAATCATAAACTGTTTAAACAAATCTTAAAAAAACTTAAAGACCAAAAAAAAAGTTTTTCTTTTTTTTTTAAATTTAAATAGGTCTGTCTAATCATACTTGTTGCTTTGTATGAATCATTTCAATAAATAAATGACAAAGTTAAGAAAAAATCATCAAAATTCAATAGTTTGATGGTCAAGGTCATTGAAAGGTCAAGGTCATATCTAAATGATTCCATATATCTGTTTGGTCACAAGTCTTGTTTTGTCCACATATGAATTTAATCCTTACATAAATAACAGAATTATGACAACTTAACCAACATTCAATACTTTTAACCCTGCAGGTTAAGGTCTTTTAAAGCTCAAGATCAAGGTCAGTTAAACCTTAAAGTGTGTCTTGTCAAAAAGGTTGTTTTGTCTAAGTATGAAAATAATCCATTGATTAATTTCAAAGTTACAGCCAATTATAGCGAAAATCTGCGAAAATAAATATATTTAACCTTCAAGGTTAAGGTCATACATGAGTCAAAGTCATTTTGAGTTTGATTTACATCAATGTCCTGACCTAAAAGATGTTGTGTTTTAATTTGAAGTTTATCCATTCATAAATAACAAAATTATAGTTAGTTACAAAAATAAAACAGGAGAATTTCAATAATTTGACCTTGCCATTTAAGGTCAATTTAAGGTCAAGGTCACATCTCAATTATTCCATGTTTTTTGGGAGCAAGTTTTGTTTTGTTTAAGTTTAAATCAAATCCGTACATAAATAACAAAACTATGACATTTTAACCAAAATTCAATTATTTGACTTTGATGGTCAAGGTCATTAAAATGTAAATGTCAAGGTCAGTTCAACCTTTTAGAAGGTATTGTCTAAAACAATTATTATGTTAAAGTTTGAAGACCACCCATTCAAAAATAACAAAGTTATAGCCAGTAATAGCAAAAAACAAGCACAATTTAGCAACTCTGACACGACTGTGACAATACCTCTTTTTTGTATAAAAAGGTTCAGCTAAAAAACAAGAGAATTTCATAAATTTGACATTGACAGTCAATGTCAATTAACAGTCAACGTCATATCTAAATTATTCAATATCTTTGTTTCTTTGGTAACAAGTCTTGTTTCGTCGAAGTTTAAATAAAATTGATATATAAATAACAAAATTATGACAATTTAACCAAAATTCAATAATTTGACCTTGACAGTCAATGTCATTTAAAGGTCAAGGAAAAGTCCATCCTTTAAAAAGGTATTTTTAAATACTTGTTTTGCCTAACTAGGAAGATATTCTATCTAATAATCACCAAGTTACAGTTTATTATAGCAAAACTCTGTAAAAATTCATTAATTCAAGCTTCAAGGTCAATAAAGAGCCATGTTCAATATGAGTTTGATGTACATGAAGGTCTTATCCTAAAGAATGTTCTAATATGAAGTCAATCCATTCAAAAATAACAAAGTTATAGCAAGTTACAGCAAAAAGAAATGAAAATTTCAATAATTTGACCTTCAGGGTCAAAGTCATTTTTGAGTGAAGGTCAAAGTCTGTCTAGTTAACTTGAAGGTCTATCCAACAAGATTTTTATGTTCAAGTTTGAAGACCATCCATTCAAGAATAACAAAATTATACCCAGCAAACACATGACGTTAAAATAACGTCGGATTAATGTTAGATTTTGGTCACAACGTCGGCGACCAAAATACGACGTAAATCTGACGTTAAAATACCGATGTCTAATAGACGTTTCTTTTTGACGTCGTACTAACGTTAGGTTCTGGTCGGTGTCCTGACGGTAGGTAAAAAATAACAAAAAAATAATCCTTATTCGCTGTTGTAATCATTTAAACTTTTTTTCAAATGTTATTTGGATTACAAATGAAGTGTTCTTATATAAATACAGACCAAGATCGCGGCGCTGCAACCTAATAAAACATTTAGATGGCGCTGTATATAAGGCAAGTAACATGTGTTATTGTTATGAAATCTATTAATAGCCACAGATCTGTTTACAAGTTGCAATCATTTAACGTTATAATATTATCATTGGTGGTACATTATATGTATCAAAATCACGAGTTTTTTAATAGTGCTTTAACATTTAATCATAGTGACAGAAAGGGGAAAGAAAACATAATTAACCTATTAACCTATAATTCGAATCTAAAGTCACGTGGATGAAAATTCAAATTCGTAGGCGTTACGTTTTGGCTGTCGGTCAGGAATCGGGATGCATTGATAAAGTCAATATTATAGATTTTCTTGAACAAAAAGGTCAGTTCAATTTATTTAGATTTTATTTTTACTTTGTATTTGATAAATAATTGCATGATTGCAAGCACTCTTAAATTTAATTATCATTATTTGAACAGCTGAAGTAAAATGTCACACAAATTCGCGATAATGTCTAAGAATAAATCTTTTTAAAATTAGACATGTTTTAACTCTGCTTGTGAAGAGTTTATAATATGCCTTTCAGTACTACCAAAGAGAATGCTTAGTTTTCATATTTTTCTTAAACTGTGATGTTTTTGTCAGTTAAAATCTGAGAATTGAGAATGAATTTGTATGATTTCGAGCATTTTGGACCAAGACGTTTCGGTCCCAAATAACCCAAAACGTTCCGATCCCAAATAACCCAAGACGTTTTGGTTCCAGACATTTCGGCATTAAATCTTTAATTTAAAACTATGAAATATTTAAGACTTGCGTAACTGTTCTATTTCAAACGTAGAATATATACATAAGTTAGAATATAATTTTCTTTTCAGGTAGTTAAAGTGTTGGACATGCTCTCAAAGGTCGGAGGGACGGAAACACATGAATATGTAAAAAGAAACATAGGAAAGTAAGATTTTTGTAAATTCTATTACATACTTTAATCCATACTAAACTGGAGTTTAAAAGCGGCTTTTTAAATGTTCAGTATTTATGTTTACTTTTAATTTTTGTTAAAGCTCTCTTATAAAAAGTTGGCAAAATTGTTCATTACGTTAAGATAACCATGAAAACATTTTTGCTTGTTATTTTTCCATGTTTCATGATTTTTTTTCAGTGAAAATGATGTCACACACGCTATTGGACGCTACAAATGCTACATATCCTCCGGACAGATGAGGGGTGCTGGAAGAAGGTCATATCTTAAAGCATCACACCTCAAAATTCGTGCTAATTCTCATGGATATCTAAAAGTATAACTTTGTGAAGTAACTAAAAGGCAGCAATTTATACATTACTGACAATCATCAAAGGAGGTCAAAATATGCAAAATGGCACTAAATGTTTTAGAAATGCTGTAGAAATATAGTTCAAATACTGAAAATCTGTCATTAATTCCTTGAAACATTATAATCAGAATCTTTTAACTTTTCTTAAAATTATAATATTTTCATTATTTTATTTGATAAGGCAAACTTTGATAGAAATGTGCATGCATTGTTTTGTTCTTTAATATTTGTACATGTTTTCTTAGTTTCATTTATGTCATTGTTTTTGTAATGCTTTTGTTTTGTATTAACTTATTTAATGTTTTATTTTGTTTAATTTATGAAAATGATTTAACCTTGCAGAATTTACTAAAATTGTATGTATCAGCTTAAAATTGCAACTTTTATTTTAAATTAAAAAAGCATTAAACATTATTTTGCTTTTAGTTTTCTGATATACATTTCATTGGAGGGAAAGTTACTTACTAGAATGAGTTACATTAAATTCGATCAAATCATGATTAGCCAGAAAATATTTATGACGTGGTGAAACAAAAAAGATTAGGGGAATGATCAGATGAAGGTCAGAAAATGATCAGATTTAGGGCAGAAAAGGGTTAATATTTAGGTCGGAAAATGGTCAGATTGAGGTCGGAAAATGGTTAGAAACTGGTTAGGTTTAGGTCGGAAAATGGTCAGATTGAGGTCGGAAAATGGTCAGATTGAGGTCGGAAAATGGTCAGATTGAGGTCGGAAAATGGTTAGATAATGGTCAGATTTTGGTCAGAAAAAGGTTAAATAATGGTTAGATTCTGACGTCTACCTGACGTCAGATTATTACGTCAAAAAAACTTTCAAATCCAACCGTTTTTCCGACCGTCATCCGACGTCAGAACCTGACTTAAATCTGACGTCAGTATGACGTCTTGTGTTTGCTGGGTAGCAACTAAAAAAACAAGCAAAATTTAGACATTTGAATTTTAAGGTCAAGTTCATTTATGAATGAAGATCAAGGTTAGTCTTGCCCACTTGAAGGTCATATCCCAAAGGTTGTTGTGGCCAAGAATGAAAAAAATACACCAAGAATAATCCAGGTACAAGTTTGGGAATGACAACGGCAGATCTCTATATGACTTCAACAATACCTCATTTTTTTTTAAAAATGGTCTAGCTAAAAAATAACACAACTGGAAAATTCATGTAATATATGCAAAAATATTAGAAAAAGTCCGAACAAACTTTTAAAGTAAAAACCATAACAAGGCCATTTTAACTCAAAAATCATTGAATGGAAATTGCCAATGCTATGCACAATTAGACTTGGTACTGATCATTCATATTAAGTATGGATGAAAATGCACCAGTTTTTCAGGGGTAGTTCGGATAAGTTTTGTGACAAAGAGACAAATGGATGGACAGACATTTGACCTAATTTAGATAAAAGCAATTTTTTCTTTTCTTTTGTTTGATAGAGGGTCATTTGCCTTTCTTTGTGTGTATGAAATGATCTCTATTGTTCTCTTTTGTTCTATTTACAGCTCCTGGCCCACTATCCCTATTGGGTAGTGCAGGCAGATGACAGAGAAGCGATCCACTAATCAAAATAATTTTCAAACATTTGACCCACAACACCAAGGTCATTTATGAGTCAAGGTCAAATTCAGTCTAGCCTACTTGAAGGTCTTGACCAATGTTTGTTGTGTCCAAGTATGAAAACAACCCATGAAGAAATAAAAAAAACTAGAAATGTGTCATAAAGCCAGGAATGCCCCAGCATGCAGCCAAAATTTCAAATATTATAATAATATTGAGTTCAAGACCCTTATACTATTCATTATTAAATATTGCATATTTGTAGCCGAGATAATGATTAGAAAAAAAAACAAAACACTTTTTAGAAAACTAGAAATGTGTCTTATGCCACGAATGCATTCCATATGCAGCCAAACTTTCAAAAGTTATATTTATATTAAGTTTCAAATGTGTTTGCACAAACCAATTTTTATTTCCTTAAACTATTTAATGCACAAACCATTTTTATACAAAGTTCAAGGCCCTCAAACTATTCAGTGTTAACATTTTGCAAATTGCATATTTGTAGCCCAGATAATGATTAGAAAAAACAAACAATTTTTAGAAAACTAGAAATGTGTCTTCTGCCACGAATGCATTCCATATGCAACTTTCAAAAGTTATATTAATACTTAGTTTCAAATGTGTTTGCACAAACCAATTTTTATTCTAAATTCAGGGCCCTTAAACTATTCAATGCACAAACCATTTTTATACAAAGTTCAAGGCCCTGAAACTATTCTGTGTTAACTTTTTGCAAATTGCATATTTGTAGCCCAGATAATGATAAGAAATTGTGAATTTTTCAATCTTTTCTAAGTTCAAGTGGGATAACTGTCAAAAAACATCTGACCATGACTTGTATTTTCCGTTGAAATACCAGCACATGCAATGTCAACCTCGGACATACATTCCTACAAAAGTTAGAGCAGAAACTGAAAATTTCTTATTTTTTCTAAGAAGGATAACATTGTCAAAAATCATCGGATCAAAACCAAATTCGAACTTGACATGTATTTTCTGATTAAATACCTTCACATGCAATTTCAACCTTATATATACAGTTCTACTAAAGTAAGAGTGTGGAAACTGAAAATTTCAATTTTTTCCCAGCGTTCAAGAGGGATTACTTTGTCCAAATTCATTGAACCATGACCGAATTCAAACTTGACCTGCTTATTCTTATGATGCATCTGTATTTAAATTTGAGTTGAATGTGTACAACTGTTAGGGAGATATTGAATGGAAACTAAATTTCTTTTTTCTTCAATGTTAAAGAGGCATAACTCTGCCAAAATTCATCTAACCATGACCAAATTTGAACTTGACCTGAACATTTCTTTAACATATCCATATGACAAATTTGAGCTGAATTGTACAACGTTTTGGAAGATAATGAACGGAAACTGAAATTCTTTTCAAGGGGCATAACTTTGTCAAAAAACTTCGGACCATGACCAAATTCAAACTGTATCCATATGTTAAATTGAGTTAAATGTGTTCGACTGTTGCAAAGATAATGAATGGAAACTGGTGATGACAGAATGATGGAACAGTGTAACACACTATATGCCCCGGCCATTTTATGGCGTAGGCATAACAATGGCCAAGATAAAATTTAAGTTTCTGGGGTAAGTAACGAGAAGCTAACGAAAGCGTTAGCGATCGCGTCACGAACACGTTATTAATTTTAACAATTGTTTTTGTTGCATAACCAGAAAGCATTGTTGCTGAGTCGCTATTTAATCGTTAGTAAAATTCATAAATAAATCGTTGTGTAATCGATAAGAGTATACACGGCAATTTTGCACCAACTGTCATTATAGATTTTATTGTATAGAGGACACTGCACGTACAAATAATTTTTTACAAATTGTTTATAAGTTGTTTATAGATGCCTGTTCAAATGTACAAGCATAAAATTATATCGGTGAAGAAACAGTGGACAGTCTTAATCTTTTTAATTTCAAAAATGCAAATCATCTGTAACTTCTGGTTATATTTTGAAGTACAATGTACATGTATACATGCCCATGCTTATGAAGAACTCTTTCAAAAATATTGACGATAAATAGCATGGTAATTTTTTTTAGTTAAATGATGCAAATCAAGGAATGAGCTGCATTTTCTGTACAAACTTTGATTGCAAAACCTTTGTTACACACTGGTAAATTTTTTTATAAATGTCCAATGCTTGAAAATTATTTTGGGAAACAAAACAAGTTTTGATTAATAAATTTTACCTTCCATGAAAACAGAGGTTAGCCATTAATTCAAAGTATATGGAACATATATAATGGTTTTCTTAATATACTCTGCTGAATTTCATTATAATCAAAAACGTGAAATTATCAAATATAATTTTCACGGATAAATCAGTAATCCACTCAAAAACATAAAGTAAAGTCATATATTTGATAATTGAGAAGGCAGTATTATCAAAATTGAACCAAATTGTTGGGTTATCTGAAGCCTTATAGCCCTATATTCTAAACAGTTATTTGTAATTATACTTTGCATACCTGCAGCATTTGGTATTGGCAGCTTGAAATTGGCTTTATATATAGTCTTCAACATTTTGTGTTTTACTATCCTTGGGCAAAAGTAATGTTCAGAAAGTGATCCTGAAAAAATAGCATAAAGGAGCTAGCAAATCAGGGAAGCAATATTTTGAAGTATATATGGTAAGTTATATATGATTTGAGCACAATATAACTTATATAATGACTTAAATGCTCCTATGAAACATTTGCTAAGGAAAAGTCAAGTCATCTACTAATGTATTCTAATAGTTAATTTATACATAAAGTCAAGTACAAAATTTAATGGAACAATAGTACTCTTGTATCAACAATCTTTTCAATTGGTGCTGAAATGTAAATTAAGTCTCATTACAAAGTAGTAGAACAGTCATAAAGAGCTATCTTGGTGTTCAAGTTTGAATCAATGATTTTTCAAAGAAAAGACAAAGCATATACCTTTGGTTAACACATCTTTGATCACCCTTTCAATGTTAGGGTATTTGGAGGCAATTGCAACCATAACATCTTGAATTATCTCTAAATTTTCAGCTTTGAGAACTTGCCGCATAAAAAATGTAGTTCTGTCAAATCTATTGCCAATCTTTTCCATTTCCAGGAAATTCAGCTGTTCCAAAATTTTGTTTGATAAACATGATTTCAGCTCTAATGGTTCAAGTTCATCTATGATGAACTCATATACTGACAACAATGCAAGTCTTGTATCTGTAATATTATAGCTATATTGTAATGACAACTTCATTTTCAATTATGAATTAATTGAATAAAAGGTAAAGGTCTTGTTTATTATAGCGTCCCTTGACCTCACGATCCGAAGAGGGACGCCTTAATATTGAATATTAAATGAATGTACAAGGCATATTAACAAAAAATCAAATATAACAGTTTTCCATTTACTTTTGATAATTAAACAATAACATTAAAATATATATGTGTATGTTTTCAAATCAATTTAAATGATTTTCATTTGTTTTTAAAAGACAATATGTTTTCATAAAAAGTCTCCACGTACCACATTCTATTGTTTGATTTTTTGATTGAGTCAATATGGCAAGTACATGTGGACTGTATTCATAGAGTGCCTCTATGAACCAGTCAACATCTTCTTCTTCACAAAGAAAGCGTACAAATTGTTTAGTGCAGGATTTCCTTGATTGAGACCTTTTTATGGCTGTCAAAATCTTCATACATGCCTCCTCTTCTCTTGATTCCAAAATCTCAATAAACCAACGACCATCAAGTTCCTCCTCAAGGAGATCAACAGACTTTTTAATGTTTTCTTTTACAATCGTTACTTCATCGTCAACCTTTTCACCTGTTGAAAAAAAATATAACACTTGATTTCAGTTTGTTAAATTACAGAATGCGACGGACTTAACATGGTTGTTTTTTTAAAGTCACATTAATGTAATAAATTAGGTACCATATATATTTATTTTAAACATGCATTAATCTAAATGTCAAATTATTTAATTATATCATAAACATTGTCAATAAAAAATGAAGTTTATTTTCTTACTATTTTGCCAATGTGCAAATCTTTCCATGAAAAAAGTTTTATTATGGAATTCAAAAAAATCAATTCATCATACAGAAAAAATTGGCATCAAGTTCTTTATTTATATTTAAATAGGATTGTCAGTCTACTTGCAATTTTAATTTCTAATACCTAAACTTTTCTTAGATGGTTGTTGCTGCTGCTGGAATAGATTGTATTCCTTTTTCTTCCGCAATTCTTCTTCAATCAAGCAGAAACATATCTGCTGCAGCTCTGAATGTAGCAAAAACTCTATCAACTTTTGCATCAGGTCTTTGTTGCTTGCACTATCTTTTATTTGTGACAATGCGAATGCTAATGTCTCATCAAGTGTACCATTTGTTAGCATGGCCTTGATAACACCAACTTCTGATCCGTGTAAAAACGCTTCAAATTCTTTCAGATGGCTTTGAATAAAGTCTCTGTTGAGGACACAACAACATTCTGCAAGTAAAGAATATTGTAATACTTAGCAACATGGCTTTTTAGAATCTAAGCTACAAATCAGGCTTATTACATCACAAATAAGCAAGAAATAGAGCTGCAGTGGGACAACACACTTAAAGAGTTCATCGATCTTCATCATATGCTGTTCTGAGGAATAATGGTATCAAAGGATATGAATATACGACTATAAATTGATCATTCACAATATATATAATATAATTTCTAATATATATTTAAGTAAAAAGAAACATATACAAAATACTTTCTCATATTCTCTGTATGCCCACTTATTTTAAAAAAGTATTCACAAGTGAATGACAAAGCTACCATCAATGTACACTTTGACATTCAAGTACATGTTTAACCTTCATCTTTCTAGCTGTCAACCTGGTGGGTGTATGTGAAAAAGTTCCCTAATGTGCCACAAAAGTATGCCCAATTTTTTCAAAATCCATTCATGAATGACAGAATTAATGACTATGTGAACTTGATTTTTAAGCTACAAACTTGATCTCACTCATCACAAATTGTTTTAAAGTATCATATATTAAGTTATTTGGTGCGTTTTGGCTTTTGAAAACAGGAGGAAGAGGTCATTAGATGTTTCGGTGTGATAAGGATATTTGCTTAGAAGAAAACAGTGACAGATTTTCAGAAGGGTGCAGGATAACTGTAAAAATAACTGCAGTCATGTTATTTGAATTTATTTTGTAATCTTTGAGCACCTTTTACTAATGAAAAATGGTCTTGAACATGTATATTTAACCATATGTTTAAAGATAAGGTAAACAAGATGCATTTAAGATATAACAGAGGTAGATCTTTTTGATTCTATACAATTGAACTCGGCCATAATGCAGTAGAGTCTAGTGAATTTAGGGTCAAGGTCATATTTCAGCAGGTCAAATGAATGAAAATGTGCCGATGTGATACAAAGGCCACCGTGCAATAATTGATTAAACTAGAAATGTGTCCATAGAACACGGGTGCCCCCACACGCCACTGTTCTTTCAATCTTATGACTCTAGGTCAAATATTTTTTGAAAACTAAAAATCTTTTACTAAGTAAAGGGCAAGAACTTTACAAAACCCCAAGGTGCATAAGTACACATGCTGACCAACATTCTTGTAAACTTTCAGGCCTACGACTGAAATACTTTTTGAGCTATGCATGAACAAGTTGAAAATTGCAAATTTATACTACTGTAAGTCAAGGGCAATAACTCTAACAAAACTGAAAAAAAATCCACATGCAAAGTCCCAGGTGCATAGCTTCACAAACATTATTCCTGTAATTTAGTGATGTTGATTATTATTCCTGTTCTAACTCAAGCACACAAAGAACAAATAACAACATAATAACATTTATAAGTCAAGGGCAATAACTCTACAAATACTGGATAAATACACAAGCGAAACCCCAGGTGCACAACTACATATGCTGAGCAACCTTCCCGTAAGGTTTAATGACTCTATGTCAAATCCTTATTGAGTTACATGCAGTACAAGTTGAAAATTGCAAATATTTTCTAAGTCAAGGGCAATAACTCTAAAAATACAAAATAAATCCACACGAAAATACCCAGGTACACAACTACACATGCTGATCAACATTCCTGTAAAGTTTCATGACTCTATGTCAAATCTTTTTTTGAGTTACATGCAACACAAGTTGAAAATTGCAAATTTTACTAAGTCAAGGGAAATAACTCTAAAAATACTGAATAAATCCAGACGAAAATACCCAGGTGCACAACTACACATGCTGATCAACATACCTGTAAAGTTTCATAACTCTAGGTCAAATACTTTTTGAGTTACATGCGACACAAGTTAAAAATTGCAAAAGTTTACTATGTCAAGGGCAATAACTCTAAAAAATACTAAATAAATATAGACGAAAATACCCAGGTGCACAACTACACACGCTGATCAACATTCCTGTAAAGTTTCATGACTCTAGGTCAAATACTTGTGTACATGCGACACAAGTTAAAAATTGCAAAATTTTATTAAGGAAAGGGCAATAACTCTAAAAATACTAAATAAATCCAAACGAAAATACCCAGGTGCACAACTTCACATGCATATCAACATTCCTGTAAAGTTTCATCACCCTAGGTCAAATACTTTTTGAGTTACATGCGACACAAGTTGAAAATTGCAAATTTTTACTAAGTCAAGGGCAATAACTCTAAGAATACTGAATAAATCCACACAAAAATATCCAGGTGCACAACTGAACATGCTGATCAACATTCCTGTTAAGTTTCATGACTCTAGGTCAAATACTTTTTGAGTTACGTGCAACACAAAAGAGAACGGACGGATGGACAAGGGTAAATCTAAATGCCCGCCACTAAAGTGGGGGCACAATTAGGTTTTAAATGCATCACAACTGTATCAAACTTTAAAATGCAGGTACAGTTACTTTTTCTTAAATACTATCTTTTCGATTAAGCATTACCAGTTTTTAAAAAAACATGACCTTTAGACTTACTTCCACCTATTTTATCTTTTTATAGAACAAGATTGCATTTGTGAAAAATGCTATGCCACCACATTAATACAACACTAAATAGTAGTGTAGGAACATATTTTTTTTTGTTTCTATACAATTGAAGATTGTCAAAATGCATAGATCCCTGACCTATCTAATTCTTATTATCAGATTAGTGGTTAAATCTATTGTTATTCAAATAAAAGTTCAGAGTAGGAATATATCAATGCAGTCGAGTCTAGTGAATTTGGTGGTGAAGGTCATATTTCACACAGCCTAAATTTCATGACTACATCAAAGGACAACACAGTAAGACACTTTGTCAAAATCTAGGTCAGCTGATATCAAAGTTCACTTTACATCTTAATTTGTGCACATGGTTCAAATTTCATAGCTGTACATCAAAATCTATGTCACCTAATATCAAAGTTCAATTTTACAACTAAAACTGTGCAAATGGTCAAAATTTCATTGCTGTACATCAAAGGACAAGAAAGTAGGTCACTGTCTCCTTAGCAAGTCAAAATTTTGACCCAAGGGTTTAATTCAAAACAATCTTGATACATGTTCACCAAACAACATTTCATGTCAAATATCTAAGCTGTAGCTTTCTCCAATTCAGAAAACATTTGTTTTTGTTTTAGTTTCTGTTTTTACTGTGTGTATATAATGAGAATCAATGGGGCGTGCAGGGCCAATTTTGACACCAGGGGAAAATTTGAACAACTTTGGTAGAGACCTGTAGATGAAATTATATAGCAAACATCAAAGCTCTATGCCTTGTACCTTCAGACAAACATATTTTTTATTATTTTTTTACTATATGTACATAATGAAAATCAATGACCCCCTGGGCGGAGCTAATTTTGACCCCAGGGCTATAATTTGAACAATCTTGGTAGTCTCACGCCAAATATTTATCCTCTATCCTTTGTCAATTCAGAGAAGAAGATTTCTCAAGTTTTTACTTTATACATATTTTAACAATTTTAACACTAGAGGCAAAATTTGAACAACTTTGGTAGAGTACCTATAGATAATATCATATCATAAATATTAAAGCTCTAAGCCTTGTACTTTTTACTATATGTACATGAAAATCAATGACCCCTGGGGCGGGGCCAATTTTGACCCCAGGGCAATAATTTGAACAATCTTGGTAGAGGTTCACTACACAATGTTTCATGCAAAATATCTTACCTCTAGCATTTGTCAATTGCTAGAAGAATTTTTTTAACGTTTTACTATAAACCGATATAAGGAAAACCTATGACCCCCGGGATGAGGCTGATTTTGACACTAGAGGCAAAGTTTGAACAACTTTAGTAGAGTACCTATAGATAATAACACATACCAAATATCAAACCTTTGAGCCTTGTATCTTTAGACAAGAAGGTATTTTAAGCTTTTACTATATGTACATGACCCCCGGGGCGCGGCCGATTTTGACCCCAGGGCTATAATTTGAACAATCTTGGTGGAGGTCTACCAGACAATGCCTTATGCAAAATATCTAAGCTCTAGGCCTTTTGGGTCTTTACAAGAATATTTTTTAAATTTATTCTTATAATTCCATTTGGTTGCCATGGCAACCAGATTTCTGCATGGAATGAAATTCTTTGAACAACTTTGGAAGCCCTACACCCAAAGATCAATCCTGCTAAGTTTGGTTGAAATTGGACTAGTGGTTTTTCACAAGAAGATTTTTTAAGTTCACTATATAATCTATAGAACACATGTTCAAACACACACACAAACACACGCACACACACGCACGCACACGCACACACACACACACACACACACACACACACAGGTGAATTGCAATATGTCACCACATCGCAGATGCAAGGGTGGCATAAAAACTTTGTCAATACTAAAGAAAGGTTGTATTTACAAACAAGGGAGCCACAACAAAGCGCTCACCAAAGACATACTGTTATTTGTGTAAGGGCCATTTTAACATAAGGAGCAAACATTGAACAACTTGTGTAGAGGGCATATAGGTGATATTATGTACCAAATATCTAAGCTCTAAACCTTGTACCTTCATACAAGAAAATGTATAAATTTTTGCTATATACATATAGGGAAAACCTATAAACCCGAGGCGGGGCCAATTCTGACCAAAGGACTACAATTTGAATAATCTTGTTAGAGTTTCACTACACAATAGTTCATGCCAAATATCTAAACTCTAGCCTTTCTCAATTCTTAAGTTTTTACTATATACATATTTGGAAAACCTATAACCCCCGGGGAAGGGCTTATTTTGACCCCAGGGCTATTATTTGAACAGTCTTGGTAGATGTCCACTACACAATGTTTTATGCCAAATATCTAACCTCTAGCTTTTGTCAATTCAGAGGAGAAGATTTTTAGTTTTTACTATATACATATATTGAAAACCTATGACTCCCTACATTGGGGCCTGTTTTTACACTAGGGGCAAAGTTTGAACAACTTTCATAGAGGACCTATAGATGATTATAGATGATTATAAACCAAATACCTAAGTTCTAAGCCTTTTACCTTCAGACCACAAAATATTTCAAATTTTTACTCAATGTATATACATATAAGGAAAACCTATGACCCTGGGGAGAAGCCAATTTTGACACCAGGGCTATAATTTAAACAATCTTGGTAGAGTTCCACTACACAATGTTTCATGCCAAATATCTAATCTCAATAAAAACAATAAACATATCGAAAAAACCTATGATCCCTGAGGAGGGCCAATTTTGACCCCGGGGCTGTAATTTGAACAGGTTGGGTAAAGGACTTATAGATGATATTATATAACAAATATCTAAGCTCTAAGTCTTGTATCTTTGTGATCAGAAACATATATTTGAAGTTTGAAGTAAAGACCTTAAGAAACAAGAAATGTCGAACGACACATCTGCCCCCACCCTATCTAGCCCTTGACTAACATAATTGGTGATTTTGTTATAGAAACTTGCCATAAATGGGTACATGGAAGTTTTCAATTACGGAAAAAAGAAAAATAAAGAAGACTTTGTGATAAACAGTTTTCAAGATAACGGGACATTTATGGCCCCTGTGACATTGACCTTTGACCTAGTGACAAAAAACCAATAGGGCTTATCTTATTGTTATATATTGTTATAATCAATATGTGAAATATGAAGACTTTGTGATAAATAGCTTTCAAGATAATAAGCGGAAAGCATTCTGACATTTAAGACCAATGTGACATTGACCTTTGACCTAGTGACCCTAAAATCAATAGGGGTCACTTACTAGTTATGACCAATTAGTATGTGAAATATGAAGACTTTGTGATAAATAGATTTCAAGATAATAAGCGGAAACCATTCTGACATTAAATGCCCCTGTGACCTTGACCTTTGACCTAGTGAACCCAAAAGCAATAGGGGTCATCAACTAGTTATGACCAATCACTATGTGAAATATAAAGACTTTGTCATAAATAGTAACCAAGATAAAAAGCAGAAATCATACTACAATTCAAGGCACCTGTGACCTAGACCTTTGACCTAGTGACCACAAAATGAATAGGGGTCATCTACTGGTTATGACCAATCAGTATGTAAAATATGAAGACTTTGTGATAAATAGATGTCAAGATAATAAGCGGAAACCATTCGGACATTTAAGGCCCCTGTGATCTTGACCTTTGACCTAGTGACCCCAACAGCAATAGGGGTCAACAGCTAGTTAAGACCAATCACTTTGTGAATTATAAAGACTTTGAGGTGAATACTTTTCAAGATAATCAGCGGACACCATTTTGACATTTAAGGCCCCTGTGACCTTGACCTTTGACCAAGTGACCCTAAAATCAATAGGGGTCATCACTAGTTATGATTAATCAGTATGTGAAATATGCCACCTTATTAAAGAATACTTTTCAAGATAATCAGCTGAAACCATGCAGACACTTAAGGCCCCTCTGACCTTGACCTTTGACCTAGTGACCCCAAAATCAATATGGGTCATCTAATAGTTATGACCGATCAATATGTGAAATATGAAGACTTTGTGATAAACAGTTTTCAAGATAAGCGGGAAACCATTTTACCATTCAAGGCCCCTGTGACCTTGACTTTTGACCTCGTTACCCCAAAATCAGAGGGGTCATCTACTAGTTATGACCAATCAATATGTGAAATATGAAGACTTTGCAATGAATTGTACCAAAGATAAAGATCGGAAACCATTCTGACATTTGTGGCCACTGCGACCTTGACCTTTGACCAATATCAATAGGGGTCATCTATTGGTTATGACCAATCAATATGTGAAATATGAAGACTTTGTGATGAATACTTTTGAAGATAATCAGCGGGCACCATTTTGACATTTAAGGCCCTGTGACCTTGACCTTTGACCTAGTGACCCCAAGATCAATAGGAGTCATCTAATAGGAGTCATCTACTAGTTATAGCCAATCAATATGTGAAATATGAAGACTTTGTGATGATTAATTTTTAAGATAATCAGCGGAAACAATTTTAACATTAAAGGCCCCTGTGACCCTGACCTTTGACCTAGTGACCCCAAAATCAATAGGGGTCATTTCCTAGTTATGACCAATCAACATGTGAGATATGAAGACTTTGTGATGAATACTTTTCAAGATAATCAGTGGAAATCATATTAACATTTAAGGTCCCTGTGACCTTGACCTTTGACCTTGTGATCCAAAAATCAATAGGAGTTATTTACTAGTTAAAACTAATCAATATCTGAAATATGAAGACTTTGTAATGAATTCTTTTCAAGATAATCAGAGGAAACTATTTTTACATTTAAGGCCCCTGTGACCTTAACCTTTGACCTAGTGACCTAAAAATCAATAGAGGTCATTTACTAGTTATGACCAATTTACTTGTGAAAAATGAAGACTTTGTGATGAATATTTTTCAAGATAATCAGTGGAAACCATTTTGTCATTTAAGGCCCCTGTGACCTTGACCTTTGACCTAGTGACCCAAATATCAATGAGGATCATCAACTAGTTATGACCAATCACTATCTGAAATATACAGACACTGTGATAAATAGTTTTCAAAATAATCAGCGGAAACCATGTGGTCTACCGACGGACAGACCGACAGACAGACCGACATTAGCAAAACAATATACCCCCTCTTCTTCGAGGGGGGGGGGGGGCATAATAAAGAACGTTTAGTGAAAAAGCATGAAAACTTGAATCAGAAATATTGATGAGGTCGCCGATGCTTGGTGAGTAGGATAGCTCTCAATATACTCCCTCTAGTCAAGATTAAAATTATGTGTATAATCTATCTCTGGTTAAACCGGTAGGGGACTAACAACTTTTGTAGAGGATATAAAAATGACACCATACATTAAATATCAAGTCTCTAGGCCTTTTATTTTCAGACAAGAATTTTTTTTTAAAGTTTTGCATTTTTGAAATTCCTGTAAAGTTTGGTTACTGTGCAGTCATCAGTTTTTAAAGGAGATGTTGTTAAAAGGCATTGTTGATGACGCACATATGTACAATGACGGACGGTGGGGGATCACAATAGCTCACCATGAGCATGTTGTGATCAGGTGAGCTAAAATACAGCTGGCCCATTTTCAAGAGTTTTAAAATTAAGCTGAAAGGTGATGCTACTTGCCAAAAATGACCTATGCTCTCGGCATCATAGTTTTGACTTACAGCATGTTTATTATATTAGTCTAAATATACTAAGTGGCCTAAGGCAAGGGCCATTTTTGATCCCATGAACATAATTTGCACAATTTTTCTGTAGAGGTCAGTCCAACATGCAAAGCAACGTACCAAATATCTTAGCTCTGTGCATTGCAGTTTCACACAATAAGCTTAAATGTATTTTCCTGTATAAATCTATATTGATGAAGTGACAGCCCAAGGCAAGGTCAGTTTTGACCATAGGGATACAATTTATATACTTTTTGTGGTAATGCTTAACCCTAAATACATAAGCTCTGAGCAGTAGATCTCATTTTCAATGTCCTTTTTTTGCTCCTGTGACCTACTTGTGAAACAGACTGTAATCATTTGATATATAATATTTGTAGAAAGTCACATAAAAATCACTCTTGTGAAGTTTGCTTATAAAACATGTTGTTAAGAGTTATTTAGATGAAAATGGAAAATATGTGACAAACAATAGAGGATGGACAACTTACCATGACAAAAGCTCATCTCAGCTTTAATAATTAACACTCACCAAATATTTTTTTTTGTAAAATTTAGAAATGAATAAATAAAATAAAATATTATTTACCTTGAAATACCTCATCAAATATTTGTTTTTTGTCATCGTTGGTGTCAATGTAACATTCAATGACTCCACCATTAACATTTAATTTTTGTAACTTCTTGATATCATCTGGCTTCAAGATTGACATCAACCAATCTACAGCTGTCCCGTTTTTACAACATTCTTTTAAGCTTTCAATAGACATGTCCCCTGAAGTTCTCAAATTAAATATAATTGAGCCCAATTTTACACGTTCAAGTAAAGATGCCGCCTTGTGTAAAATGTCTGTCCTCAGTTCAGGATCGTCATTAGCGCTTTCAACAATATCTTTTTCCACTTTTTTGATTTCGCTCTTGACATCTGAATGTTCAGTAGTGTCCTGTGTTGGATTTTTTTCTGTAAGACTATACCGTAAAGCTACCGGAGTTGCCTCTGGATTAGATGCAAGAGTATATGTTGAACCTGTGAATATTGTTATAAAGAAACAACAAAGAATTAAAGAGATACTTTTTACTATGTCAAAAAATGTGAATATGTATCAGTAAAATATTTTCATACGCTTACCACTAAATATAAGCTTGTGTTGAAAAGATTAAAAGAACTTTGATAGAGTTTACTGTCAAGTGTCACTGATATTTTTCCAGTAACAGATTAAGTCACAAACATCAAACTGTGGGTTATCTAATTGCTACACTTTGTGCCTGATGAGTTTAAATTTTTATCAAACTTATGTAAATATTAAAAAGGTTTGTATTCTATCTAAAACCATCTTTTTTCATTTGTAATATGAAAGCCTTACACTCTTTCTTGTACTCCGAAGACAGTTCTTTGTAAAATTCAAATAGCTGCTTTATAAGTTTGAAATTTTGAGCAGCAATGTTGTATAGCTCTGTTGCTCTCTCTTTTCTGCTCTCTTTCTTTGTAATGAGCTCATACTGTTGCAGATCAATAGCATGGACTGAAACAAGATCATCTATGAATTGCCTTGGTTCCATTGTTGCTATTATTTTGTCCTTTGCCTTTTCAAAAAATCCGCATAATTGAACTTGTTCCAATGATGTGCCTATTTTTGGAAAATATAATAATTCAATAGTTACTAAGCTTTTAATATTATATTACTTGGACAGAAACTGAACATATAGATAATACAAAGGTACATGTATGTTTTTCTATTTATGGAGAGTGCACTCAACTTCTAAGTGCAGGACAGTTCAAACAAGGATACGGCTGAAAGCAGTCTATGCTTTGCGAATCTGCACATTTGTCAATGTATTTCATGTACATTAGTCAACAAAGGCTATAATAGAAAAAGTGTAAATAACCACTAATGTTTTTCATCAGTGACATGGATTCCAGTACCAGTAATCCCTAACTCCACCCAAGTTAAAGGACAACACCTCGTATCTACCTACAAAACATGAAAGACATCAGTCAATAAATAAAGGTTTCATGAGCCAATTTGAGCTTTATCACTCTGAATACATTGACCCTGACCCAAATTTCCATTTCTCTTCACACAATAATAGTGCCAACTAAAATATTTACCTACTTAATAAGAAACACCAGTAAATAAACTAGAACTATCACTTAATGTGATTAATACCCCCGCAAGACTGCTTCGGAAACGAGGATGTTACTAGTAACAGAATACCTTGTAAAAGTAATGGTTGTGGGCAATTTAAGATAGTTGTGGTTCTTGTATGTTGCATTTCTTTTCAACGTGGTTGGCCATTGATGAAGTTTTATTGAATTACTCTGTAATAAGTCAAGAAAGACAAGGAAAAGGAACAAAGGGCAATAACTCTATAAATACTGAAGGTGGAGTTATGGTTATTGAACATTGCACTTCCTCTCATTATGCTTGACCATTGTATGAAGTTGTATTGAATTCCAACTACTAGTTTTCAAGTTATGCACTGGACAAAAAAGTAACAAAGGGCAATAACTGTAATTAGTCTAAGTAGAGTTATGGTTCTTGTGCACTGCACTTCATCTCACTGCCCTTGACCATTGTATAAAGTTTCATTGAATTCCAACCATTAATTTTCAAGTTATGCACTGGACAATAAAAAGTAATAAAGTGCAAAAACATTTAAATGAGTCGAGAAAGAGTTATAGTTTCTGTGCACTGCGCTTCCTCTCAATATACTTGACCATTGTATAAAATAGTATTGAATTCGAACTACCAGTTTTCAAGATATGCTATGGACAAGAAAAAAAGCAATGGAAAAGTAACAAAGGACAATAACTCTAAAATTACTCTGGACAGACTTATAGTTATTGTGCACTGCACTTCCTCCTATTGTGCTTGACCATTGTATGAGGTTGTTTTGAAATCCAACCAGTATGTTTTAAGTTATGCACCGTACAAGCAAAAGTAACAAAGGGCAATAACTCTGTAATTTGTCAAAATAAAGTTATGGTTCTTGTGCACTGCACTTCCTCTTAATGTGCTTAACCATTGTAGGAAGTTATATTGAATTCCAACCATTAGTCTTCAAGTTATGCTCTGGACAAAAAAGGCAATGGAAAAGTAACAAAGAGCAATAACTCTGTAATTAGTCAAGATGGAGTTATGGTTCTTGTGCACTGCACTTCCCCTTATTATGTTTGTCCATTGTATGAAATTGTTTTGAATTCCAACAAGTAGTTTTCAATTTATGCTCCTGACAAGGAAAAGTAACAAAGGGCTACAACTCTGTAATTAGTCAAGATGGAGTTACGGTTTTTGTGCACTGCACTTCCTCTCAATGTGCTTGACCATTGTATGAAGTTAAATTGAATTCCAACTATTAGTCTTCAAGTTATGGTCCGGACAAAAGAAAGCAATAGAAAAGTAACAAAGGTCAATAACTCTGTAATTACTTTAAATAGAGTTATGGTTCTTGTGTACTGCACTTCCCCTTATTGTCCTTGACAATTTTATGAAGTTGTTTTAAATTCCAACCAGAAGTTTTCAAGTTATGCTCCGGACAAGGAAAAGTAACAGAGAGCAATAACTATGTAAGTAGTCAAGATGGAGGTATGGTTCTTGTGCACTGCACTTCCTCTCAATGTCCATGACCATTGTATGAAGTTATATTGAATTCCAACCATTACTCTTCAAGTTATGTTCCGGACAAGGAAAATGCAACGGACCGCTGGACCGACCGACCAAACGACCACCGGGTGACTTCTATATACCCCCCCCCCAAACTTCGTTTCGGGGGTATAATAAAGGCTGTATAAGCAAAATTATAAAAATAAATTTCTAGCACCTTGGCATTTTAGTTTAGGACTGTCCCATAACTACACACAAAAAAGAGCCACCGCCGGGCGGGGGCAACGCTCGACTTTTTACTTTTTCTAAAAGCAAACAAAGAAATGTTTGAACAAATCTTAACGTTTCCTTTTTATAAATTTAATCGGTCTGTCTTGTCACATTAGTTTTGTCTATATATTTTGTATATATAAATAGAAACACGTAATGCATTCTATAAATAGAAACACGCAATGCATTCTATAAATAGATACACGCAATGCATTCTATAAATAGATACACGCAATGCATTCTATAAATAGATACACGCAATGCATTCTATAAATAGATACACGCAATGCATTCTATAAATAGATACACGCAATGCATTCTATAAATAGATACACGCAATGCATTCTATAAATAGATACATGCAATGCATTCTATAAATAGATACACGCAATGCATTCCATAAATAGGTTGTTGTTGTTGTTGATGTTGATGATGATGATAGATATCTATATATATATATATATATATATATATATATATATATATATATATATATATACACACACACACCAATAAATATATATTGTCATTTAATGCACAAATCTGAGAAAATTCAGTAATTTAACCTTCAAGGTCAAGGTCATTTAAGAGCCCAAGTGTTTGATAAACAACAAGGTCTTGTCCTTAAGAATGTTCTACTATATTATGAAGTTGATCCCTTCAATAATAGCAAAGTTACAGCCAGTTACAACCAAAACAATGAAAATTTCAATAATTTGACCTTCAAAGTCAAGGTCATTGATGAGTGAATGTCAAGGTCTGTCTGGTCATTTTTAAGGGTTATCCTTGAAGATTATTATGTTCAAGTTTAAAGACAATCCATTCAAAAATAACAAAGTTACAGCCAATAATAGCCAAAAAAATGAAAATTTCAATAAATTGACCTTCAAAGTCAAGGTCATTAATGAGTAAAGGTCATGGTCTGTCTGGTTATTTTTAAGGGATATCCTTGAAGATTATTATGTTCAAGTTTGAAGACAATCCATTCAAAAATAACAAAGTTGCAGCCAATAATAGCAAGAACAAGCAAAATTTGGACTTTTGACCTTGAAGGTCAAAGTCATTTATGGATGAAGGTCAAGGTTAATGTGGTCTACTGAAAGGTCTTGTCCCAAGGGTTGTTGTGGCCAAGTATGAAGATAATACACCAAGAACTTAAAAAGTTATGATCAAGGTACAAGTTTGCAGAAGTCAACAGGAACGGGAACGGCAACGCCGACATAACTGTAAAAATACCTTTGTTTGTTTTTTTCAAAATAAGTGGGGCTAAAATGGCTGTTTGACCTTTGATTTTGACCATTAATGAACAAAGTTCTAACTTGAGCTAGGAATCATCAAAACAATCTTCGTGACCGATTTCCAGGATATTTAGACCAAATCAGGAGCCTCTAAAGTGTTAAAATGTTTTTTCTATATCTGGGCTGTATGACAAACTTTATGACCACATATGCCTTAGAAATCATCGTAACAACCCTTATGATCAATTTCATAGGATATGTGGACTCAAGCAATAGCCTCTAGAGTGTTAACAAGGTTTTGCCATTGGACTGTGTGACCTAGTTTTTGACGGCAGATGACCCATATTTGAACTTGAAAGCTAGAAGTCATCAAGAACAGTTTTTTTTACCAATTTTAAGGACATTTGGGCTGAAACAGTTGTCCCCAAAGTATTTTTTTAATATTTGAGTTGTGATAGTTTTTGTCACTGATGACCCATATTCAAACTAGAGCTAGAAATCATCAAAACATTTCTGACCAATTTCCAGAAATTTGCACCAAAACAAAAGCCTCTAAAGTGTAACGAGGTTTTTCAATATTCGGGCTGTATAACCTTTTTATTTATTCCAGATGATCTTTATTTTAACTTGAGCTAGAAATCGACATAACAACCTTTTAAACAATTTCAAGGATATTTGAATCAAAGTAATAGCCTCTAGAGTGTTAACATATATTCCTATATGTTGGCTGTGTGACGTAGTTTTGGACCCCAGATGACCCATATTCAAACTTGAGCTAATAATTATCTTAACAACCTTTTGACCAATTTCTAGCAGCAGGATAACTGGACCAAAACAATAGCCTCTACAGTTTTTTTTCGATATTTGGGCTGTGTGGCCGGGTTTTGAAGCTTAGGTGACTCGTATTTGAAACTGCAATCAATAAAATAATCTTTGCAAAGTATTTCCAAGATATTTGGACTTAAACAGTAGTCCTTGGAGTTTTAACAAGGCTTTTTAATATGTTGAGCGATTGAAAAAAACAAAGGTATTCAACATACATATTTATTTTTGTTACAGGAGGGTTTTGTTCGCCTTGTTAATTTCACGGGAGGGCTTTTGTCCGCCCAGTAATTTCCATGGGAGGGCTTTTGTCCGCCCTGTTATTTTCACGGGGAGCTTTTGTCCGCCCTGTCATTTTCACGGGAGGGCTTTTGTCCGCCTTGTCATTTTTTTGGACGGGAGGGCTTTTATTTGTGAGGGTTTTTGTCCGTTTCCCTGATTTTTAAGCTTTTATTATACATGTAAACATATTAGGAAAATCAATGACCCCGGGGCGAGGGCATTTTTGATCCCAGGACTATAATTTATGTAGAATTTCATTAGATGATGCTGCACACAATATATCTAAGCTGTTGACCTTGCACTTTCAGAGAAGAAGAATTTTAAAGATTTCATTTAAAAAATCTAATTCTAGCCCATTTGAACAATTTAAGTACAGCTTTATGCTAGAAAAATCCCAGGCGAATTTCATCAAATTTGACTTAGTGGTTTCTAAGAACAAGTCGTTTGTTAAAAAAATTGATGACGGACACACTGACACGGACGGCAGCTGGACAAATTGTCACAAAAACTCACCTTGAGCACTTTGTACTCAGGTAAAAATCGCTCAGTCGATCTCAAAAGCATAATCCAAAATGTAAACTAGAATTTAAACACCTAAACTTAATGAAAAGGTTAACCAATGCAGACGCCAATGCCAACACCGATAAGAGGGCCATGACAATAGCTCCCCTTTTTTCTTCGAAAAGTAGAACTGACAAGATTACAGAAAATTGTACTTCTTAAATACAAAGTTGCGCTAGATTATATTCTGTCCTATGAATATAGTTATATTGAACAATGAAAAGTTAGTATATTGACATAACTCCGTTAAACCATAAAAACAAATCAAACACAGAAATTTGATGGGTTGAAACGCACACTGGCACTGCAATAGTAAATGTCCAGCTTTACTAGTGGGCAAGTCGGTGCCTGAGTGGCATAACTGATTTAACTTAAGCTACCTGAGTATCTTCCTCACATTTAAGACTTCAAAGTTCCTGGCAGGATTTGAACCCACAGCAGTGATGGGCAAGTGGTTTGAAGTCAACGACTACTCTAGGCTTATAGTAACATGTGAATCAAACCATGAGCAAGAACTTATATTTCCAATACTTAAGATGTTCTCAAAAAAGCATGACTAAATCACAATTTTCACCTTTTTAGGATTTTCAATTATTTGACAATCAATTTATTAAAATATGAACACTTACATCTTACTTCTGGACAATTTGGTTGTTTCTGTAACGCATTTATAATGCTGTCGTGATTTTCATTTAGCGCCTCTTTAAATGCTTTGAAAGGATTCGAGTCATTAGATTCTGACAGCAAAAGATCCACTTTAATAAGTAGTGCTTCAACCTTTTCACGTCTTGTTCTAAGTTCTCTAAATGTTTGATAAAATTCTTCATCTACAATGCCCTTTTCTTTCAAATGTTTTGCAACTTGAAAATGATCAATCTCTTCTTTAAGCATTTTGAAGTTGGCACTCAGTATCTTTCTTGCAACAGAACTTTCCAGCTGTGAATAAAAAAAAACATTTTTAATTAATATTCAGGTTATAGTTACATAATGCAAGGGTTATCAGTAATGACATGTGTCGCCTCATATTAGATATAACTCGGCAAAAACTCATTCAACCTAACAACCTGTGTAATATACACAAGGATTTGAGCTATCAATCCTGTAAAATTTCATTGAAATTGCATTAGTGGTATAATAGGAGTAGTCCGGACCAATTTCAAAATTAAAATTAAGGGCAAAAACTCTGACAAAAAATCAATGAACCAAAAAATGTTGATGAGATGCATAACCAGACATGGTATTGATCATTCCCCTTAGGTTTTGATGAAATTGCACCAGTAGTTTCTGAGGAGTAGTCAAAACAAACTTCAGTGTAGCTGGCAACACAAAAAGTCTTTTTTATTCAATGGCAATAACTCAGTCAAAACTCATTCAAACAAAAAACTTGTGTATTTCGCACAAGTACTTGACCTACCGATAAATCATGTAAAGATTCATCGAAATTGCATTAATGGTATAAGAGGAGTAGTTCAGACAAACTTTAAAAATAAAAATAATTAAAATCCCCACAACTCTGATAAAAATTCATTGAACCCTTTAAAGCTGAAATTATGCACAACTAGACTTGGAACTGATCATTCCTGTTAAGTTTGGATGAAATTGCACCAGTAGTTTTTGAGAAGTAGTCCGGACAAGCTTTTGTGTACATGTGTCTGGTAACATATTAGGGCGGTACATAATTCGGCCAAAAATCATTGAACATCGTACAATATGCACAAAGACTTGGGCTACAAACCAAACCTGTAAAGTTTCATTGAAATTGCATTAATGGTATAAGAGGAGTAGTCCTGACAAACCCTAGAAATAAAAATTATTAAAGGGCCATAACTGGGCCAAAAATCATTGAACTGGAAAATGCCGACAATATACACAATTATACTTGGTACTGATTATTCCTGTAAAGTTTGGATGGAATTTCACCAGTAGTTTATGAAGTGTTGTCTGGAAAAGTCTTATGATGTACGGACATACCGACGAACGCCCGACTGAACAGGGATAAAGGGCCATTTCTATTGGGTTTTTTTCTATTGTTTAACAGAGGACCATGACCCCTTATTCTATTTTACTGAATGAATTCTATTGTCCTCTTTTGTTTGCTTTACAGTTAGATGGGCCCTATCCCTATTCGGTAGTGCGGACGGACGGACACACGGACGTACAGACGACGTGACGTAGAAGTGATCCCTATATGGTGTCACTAATACGTAGAGGCGACACAAAAATGTAATTTAAACTAAAATGAATTTGATCAACTAAAACCTTAAAATAAGTTCTAAAATTTCCAATAGGAAAGCCAATAAAGTGCCAAACCCAAAGTTTTGCCGAACATAAAATACTACATATCTATAATGAAAAAGCTTTTTAAACTTAAACATCAGCATGGAATAAGAGCTCAGACTTATTAAATTCCTTACCCTCTGGGCTCAGGCTTTAAAAGCATCCTCATACTTCTGCTGATGTAAATATATGGAAAAGGTGTATTTATCCTCTATTTATTACGATAATCATAAAGTGAAATAATTCAAAATTCAAGTTACATGGAATTATTGTTATTTGGCATTGTAGTTCCTGTCAAAAGTTACTATAACTGTGCGGTGTTTCAATAAGATAATATTGACTCTTTGGAATTTATATTTAAGACAAGCATGATTCGTAAAACATTTTAGGGAGATTATTAAAGAATAAAGTAAGTTAAAGTTATGGAAATAATACTTAATCATTATAACTGTGTTAAGTTTAATACGTTTTATTTCTCCTTAAAGGGAAATAATTCAAAACTACCGTAAGAAATGAAGGCCACTGAGTATCCCTCTAACTATTCTTCATGAATGTATGAAGTTTCAATCAAGTATCATTGATTGTTAAGAAATTATACATTTTTAAGTACATGTACCAGTATTATAAAGGGAGATAATTCCAAAATTAAGCAAGGTAGAATACTTTTTGTATTTTCTGATCGCAGATCAGCAAATACAATGCTGACATTCAATCTCTGACACAGAAGTTTCACGACAAACCTAACAACAAGTAGTTCTCAAAACAGCTTAAAACTATCGATGTAAAAGAAAGAAATATTTTTATTTTGTTACAAGTATCAAACAAATTACAACGCATTCAAAGTTTAAAAGTAGCGTTGGCTTATAGGATTGTCAATAAATGCACGCGGATGAATATGATTTTAATCAATGAAAATGCTATTTTTAGCGATGTCGATTACCGAATACCTCAGAGCGTATTACTACACAAATAAATCTGATTGTCGGAAGTGAAATATATACATGTCGGACTGTTTTTGGCGAGAAGATTTTCGCTAAATTATTTACTTCAATGTTAAACAACAGGTATATCGTGAACAAAATAACTCGAAATTTATCAGGATTATAAACCCTGCATGGATATTCTAAAAATAGAATTATTTGATTTTATTCCGACTGTTTCCGTTACATTTCTCCGAGGTGCAGGGGTAACGCGCTCGTTTAGGGTGTGAGAGGTCTGGGGTTCTAATCCCAGTCGAGGCAACTTTTTTTAAGTGACTTTTTTAAGGAAGTAGCCACGATATGCAATGATAAAAAGGATAAAGTGTGGCTGTCATAAAAAATGAACATAAATTATTTTTGATGCAACTCTAGTTATGCAAAATTCTATATGTATCAAACTGTTATAGTAAAAAATCCAAACGTAGTTGCTGCCCTGCAAGGTGAATTATAGTTTATAAAAATAAACTTATAACAGGAAAATACATACAGATATACAGTACGATTTAGATTGCATATATCAGAAAATACCACAGAGCTTGCAGACCTTTGATTAAACACTGCACTTCCTTTGACTTATTTTCATCACCGATTAAATTTTAATCAAATTCTTTCATTTTTTGGTGCAGACTTATTTGAGGTCATGAAAGAAAAGATTATATTACAATTATGATTTTTTGAATATTTTCCAAACCTTTTGGCATATTTTCATCTGGGATTGACTAAAATTTTTATTATTTTTTTTCAAAGTCAAACACTTCAGTTGAAATATATTTAAGTAAAAGATGCTCCTAGTAAACATTATTTTCTTGTACACAATATAATTAAATTTTCATATCTGACCTTAACCTTCTACCGCATGAGCATATTGTGAAAAATGACCTTTTCATTGAAAAGCCTCCTGTTACAAGTTCACGCTGCTATGAAACTGTGACAAATGCTTCAGTACTGATGAAACTTAACACAAATGTTGACTGGAGAATATCTATTGTACCAGCATCCTTAATTTTAAATTTCCTGTTACAATGGCAACGGGGCAGGTCTTAAAATTGCCAAAAATCACTATTTTGCATTGTTTTTTTATGCTCCCCGAAAAATTATCACAATATTGAGACGACGTGTGGGCGCAATATTTGGGTCGCTACCTTGAAGGTCAAGGTCACAGCATGACCTTGCAGCAAAATCGTGTCCGGCCCATAACTTCGTTATTTCAAGTCGGATTTTACGACTATTTCACAGAAATGATCTTTATCTTGAGACGACGTGTCGCGCGCAACATTTTGGTCGCTACCTTGAAGGTCGAGGCCACAGTATGACCTTGCAGCAAAATCGTGTCCGGCTCATAACTTCGATATTTTAAGTCGGATTTTACAACTATTTCTTAGAAAAGAAAACCATATTGAGACGACATGTCGCGCGCAACATTTGAGTCGCTACCTTGAAGGTCAAGGTCACAGCATGACCTTGCAGCAAAATCGTGTCCAGCCCATAACTTTTTTTGATGTCGGATTTTACAACTACTTCACAGAAATGATCACCATATTGAGACGATGTGTCAAGCACAAAATTTAGGTCGCTACCTTTAAGGTCAAGGTCACAGCATGACCTTGCAGCAGTATCATGACAGCCCATTATTTCGTTATTTGAAGTCGAATTTAACAACTATTTCACAGAAATGATCACCATATTGAGACAACGTGTCACATGCATCATTTTGGTTGTTTTAATACTTTAAACTTTGTCTGTGACATAACTCTGACACTACAAAAGGTATACATTGTACCTTACTGCGTCCAAAACCTATTCAGGAAGCATCACCCGGTTCAACTGGCTCTTGTTTCCATCAAAACTGATTTCAAAGTGCTGCAACTTCTGAATAGATTGAGATAGAGTAAAAGCTTTTCAGCTTTGGTTTAAACGTTACCTTAAGATCGACCTCAGGCCATTTTTAGCCTGTCACATGTCTAGAATTTTCTTGGGGACGAGGGGGGCGGGGCTAGTGCCCTCCTTCAAAATCCCAAACAGAAGGGTGCACATCGTCCCTCTGGCACGCCTTGATGTACCTTTTTGATAGGGGCGCCGCCGAAAAAGTGATGACTATTTTGAACAAGATTTCTTAAACAAAAACAGTGTTTGGGGCCTAAATAGGGCATTTTGTCACTATTTGAGGGCTCAAAAAGGGGTGGGGGTGAAAAGGCGTCAAATCACATCTAAATGAGGTAGAAGGTGTCACAAAGTAAACCATTTCGTAAATGATCAGAAGTGCTTTCAGTACTTTGATTTTTACATAATGCGTAAATGTTCAGAAGCGCTTTCAGTACTTTGATTTTTGTAGTATTCTATTTTCATGCCGAACCTATGTTTATACTAAATCCAATGTAAATTATTGCATCAGTTTTTGTAAAATTCAGAGTTATCGAGTGAAATAACTTATTTCAGTATTATTATTGTTTGCTTAAATTTCTTGGTATCATTCCAAGCATTTTGACATATTTTTCATAAAATTCGGTCCAGTAATAAGAAAGTTAGATTTTTGTGATAAAGTATAAATTTATTTATGTTGAATAAATTTCATATTACGGGCCTGTATATTTTGTTATACATGAGTTGTAGAATGCAAGAAAATCGTGAAAGTTATGTTTCATGCTTTCTACTCAGGGTAACTATGCATATATATTGATC